TGGTATCCCACGAATAATAATGAATCCACAGTATATATGAAAAAGTATCAGGCTTTAATGACCCATCAGAACACATGTATGCAAAATTAATCCACAGTCAAATAATGGGGTGAACTTCCTTTTTGTATTTCAAATTTGGGAAGAAGACCACTTATCATGCAGAATACAGCATATTAAACATTCCCATTAATGATAAATCACAAGCAAATTTGATCTACTGAATCCATACCTCTATAGCAAATGTTTCTCCGTTCCCTGTGCACTCTTAAACTTACTGATCAAAGCACTTTTCAAATATAACACTGCAGTCTGGTAACAGTACAAGTCATGTGGAAATTGAACTCTTAATCTTTTTTTTTTAATTCAACTTTACAGTTCGAGAAACTTTTAAATTCCAAATATAGTATACTAAAATTCATGTGCATATATCACATGTACATTGAACTCTTAAGCTTATTTATGAGTAGTAGTCTCCTAACCATGGTGGTATATATGGTATTAACAGTAATCCCTACTGAAATAATTATCATGGTATGATTAAACATGATTAGAAGTTTTAAGCTTCTTAGGAAATCTTTCGATGATTTTAGGACATACTTACATGAGGTAATGGCTATCATATAAGTACAGTGTAAAGACTGAGTAGACATCATACATATGTACAAATCAAACTCAAAGCCATTGGAGATACTCAGTATTCATGATTAGCCACAGGCCAACAAGGCCAAGCTTGTTAAATTATTATTGGGCCTGTAAGAATTTCTACTTCACTGAGGCCAATAGATCTATAAAATATTTCAATAAAATGAGTGTAGGGCCTACCGCTACAAAGTTCATCGTGAAGACTGGACCAGTCAAAGGAAGTCTTGAGTTTTGGCCGACATTATTGGGCTACCTTATTTTGGTCCCTTTATTTCCAAAGAAGAAAACCAAGGAGGTTTAAGTTTCAACGCAGCCACATGTTTATATGCCCATCACATATTGATCTTGTATAGACCTTATCACTATATTGGAATCGGCAAAACTAAACCTGAGAATTTGCGACACTTGAACTATTGATGTCATACAACAATCACTTTTGCATTGCTGCATACAATATTTTTTCTTATGACCTTAAAATTTCAAGGTAATGTCTCTGATTGCCAGAAGTGGCAGTCAAATAATACAAAGAAAGGGTGTATTTATTTGTTCTTGTGTCAATTCAGAATTACGTGTAGATGTCAGATGTTCATTTGTTTCTTCAATTCATTCATAATATGTCCATGTTTGTATTGTTTATATAAATATTAAAATATACATGTGTAGCTAACAGGATATATTAGTTATGTAAGAAAACTTAAAAGTACATGTTTATCAGATACAAAATTTGTTTTGACGTTTCCGTTTCTACAAGTTTTACAAAAAAACTTCTCCATGTCAACATTGTTAAATAATACCTTTGTCACTTTCTATACTTTTTTAACAACAAACCTTCATCCATTACACAGGAAGCCATGTTTCACTGTCTTGTCAGACACAAATTCTTCGCCTAGTTCAATTACCTATGTATGACGCAACAAGAGACAAAGGCCTATTACAAGAATCCAGCTTGAACAAAGATCAAAGATTATTTCCCCTCCCTTTTTCGGTTCTTTTTAACTACATAGTCATATTTTTGAATGTCTCTCAAGTATTGAGCAATTCCTACTTTTTAATGGAGAATCAAAATCAAAAATTATTTAGGGTATGTTATTGCTAGTGAAATAACAGACATAATTTTTTAATGTATCTTGGTTAGGGTGAAACTATCTCATGAACCTAAAGGCAGAGTTCTTGAAATATTTTTTTCCCTGGTGGTCCTTGAAGGTATAGAACCATTAATTCAGGCCCGTTCGGAAAAAACATACAAGAAAGTAGTACATATTTTAAACAAAATAGTTCCTACACATAGCTGTATCTTTGTCAATAGGTGAAATATTTGGGTAGTTTTGGTATCAAGTTAGGATAAGGTATAGTTTTGACATGAAATGACTGCCACTTTATTTGAACTTAAGACAAAGTAGCCATTAATGCTTGAAATTGCAGAATTTAACATAGAAAGTAATGGGGCTCTGAATTGGTGGTTTTATACCTGAAGAAAATCTGCTGGTCCTCACAATTATTTCTATCGCAAAATCCCAAAATTGTGTCAGTCCTTTGCAAAATTTTGGTGGTCAAAACCTTCGGATCACCACTTTTCGAGGAACGGTCTGAAAGTCTTCAAGACTATATATTAAAGTCAGACTGTCTTGGTACAATTGTTATTGATGAAAGTTGTGTTCTGAACTTCTGGAATTTGGAAAGTTAGAAAATTTATTCATCACAATCATGAAAAGAAAGATACTTTGGAGCTCATTTTAACAAATTACTGCAGGATCACAAAATCTTAAAAAGTTTACATAGATATTAATCTGTCTCAATTTTCACTCGATCTTCAAATGGTTTCATATGAAGAGATTTTAACAGCATATAAATGCATGTATAATGTGTGCACTTTGTATTGAGACTATTACTAAAAAATGCCTGGCCCTAGAATAATTTGAAATCTAAAGACTTTAAACATCTGAATACATACAAATGTACATATATTCAGTGTTCAGCTTTAAAATTAGAATCATAATTATTAAACTTTGTATTTATAACTTATTTTAAAGGTTAAATGCGAAATAGTAATTATTCAGTGTTAAAAATTAACAATATAGGCCAGCTAGTACATGCAGGTACCCAGTATGAGGCCAGTTGAAAGACTGTCCAATTAGTGTGCAAATCTTAAAGAAAATCAAATAGGAAACATTTTTTAAAACATCAATCCATTAAAATTTTCAGCAATTTATTAGATCCTTTAGAAAACTGCTGGTCTAAGACCTTCTGTGTTGAACAATTAAATTTTAAATGAATATTATCTATATAATTATATAAGGAAACATTTCTGTGACATAATGATTACCGCTTACCGATTTCCTAAAAAAAACTCTTAGGCACTGAAACTACTACAAAATATGTTGAACTATGCACATACAGCTTTTTAAAAATCTTTGCATAAACATGTTTATTTTTGTACAATATAAGTTCACGATTCGATGCCAATCTTCTTATTTCAGATGATTAAATGCCTTATTTGAAAATTAAATTGTTTAGTGGTAATGAGATTTCTGCAGCTTATTCTGCAGAAAAATAAAAATCCAAATTAAATAACTTTATTAGTTTTTATACATAATGCATTTCTTATGATGTTTTAGGTCTGAAGATTATCAGTTATATCGTGACCCCAATATCTTGATCATGTACGGTAATGATGGAATGTTTTGATCTTTTTCAAAAATCATATATTTTATAACCGCACAAGTATGAACTTCTATACATAAGAATTTTTGAAAAATTTATTACACAGAAAAAAGGAAAGATAACACTTGAACAAAGATATTTACGTCACCGTAATTGTAAAGACCCACTACAAATGTTAAGTTCAAAAGTGTTCACAATACATAATAATAATTGATGCACTTAAACTATAAAAAAAACATTTAATAGTCAAATGAATGCCACATTCAATTACTTATAATCAAAACTAAGTCACAGTCCTTGTCGAGAAAATGAGTTATTTAAATATATCAGTAGATATTGTCAACCGATAGAAATATTTGCATACAGTAATGAATGCCAAATTCCCCTGGACTGATAATAAATTCTGCTGATACAACTGAACCTAACCTATGTCATAGTATGAACTGTATTAAGAAACCGAATGGTAAATATAACCCAAGAAAAGAATACAAAACAAACAAGCATTCACTTTCAAATCAAATGTTTTTGTGTAAAATCAATGCACTTGATTAGTGTGGTGACGACAGACAATTGCACAGAGATCTATTTCACTATAGAAGTTATACCAATGACAAAATAAAATAGTTTAGTTTATAAACCTACAGAATAATAAGGATAGCAGAAATCACCTAAAAATACTGGACAATACATGTACAACTGACAACATCAACCACGGACACCCTAATATATTCAAATAAATGAGAATACTAATCTTTTGTCACATATCTAATTACATACATGTGTATGCCGGTATATTATTGAAATACATAAAAATTGTAAGACTATATACATGTATAACATGTGCATACAAACACTCAGGATAACGAAACAGAAAGTTTTCAATTTTTCAATCAGTGAATCATTTCCTATACATGTACAATTTATATAGAAAAGATATGGAAAAAAAAATTCATATTGTTTACAAATTTTATTGCTTTTTACCATCACCCAGAACCTAATCTCAATTAAAAATGTGCATAGACTTTTCCACTTTTCAAAACATCTTCACACAGATTCGTTCAAATACAGGAAGGATAGTTTGGTGCTCTGAGGAAAAAAAATAGCATCACAATTACACATTAAGTTTCCAGTAAAGAATAGGGCAAACCATTTCTCATCTTCCCGGACGATTTGTAAATCTGAAGTAAAATTGGCAACACACTATGTGACAAAGGTACAATGAGACCTTTTAAAGAAATGTCTCTATTTCAAGTTTACTAAATTTACAAAACTGACCAAGAGAGTCAATTATTTAATTTCAGATTCCTTCTTCACTAAATAACATATTATAAGATTTATGAGGACCATGAGTGGTAGGCCCTTCATCTAAGTTACAGGCAAAATGAGTCTGTATTATCTTTTGGTAGTTTTCGGAACCATTGCCAGGGGAAACCAGGACCCTACATTTTCAACAAGGATGCAGCAAACAAGAATATATTTATTTAGGCCTTAGTTTTGACCTGCTAAAATATCTTATGACATAATCATGTGAAGGTTATTGCAACCTTTTTTCGTAACATAGAAAACACATTAGGCAAAGTCAACAATGAAATCACAAATACCTAACAAAATAAAACTTCATTCTTTTGACCAGGAGTCATGATCGACACAAAGAAACCTACGAAATAGGAAAATAATCTTGACTTTCAAGTACTTACTGTTTTTTTCTAATTCTTTAAATCCCAAAAGTCTAACTGTAGGCTATTTCACTAAATTTCTTTATACTTTTGATTTTCCAAAATTTCTTTGTGGTGAGGTGGCAAATGTCTGTATTAACTAGTCCTTGTCTACTAAAGACATAAAAGTACATCCTAGTTAATTATAACATGCATTCAAAAATTAAAAATAAACCTAAATGCACATCTAAGGTATAAGTAAACATGATGCACATTTAAGGCATAAACACGTAATTTTCGATGATTTGCTTTGAAGATGCTTTTCATAACACTGTATTTATTTTATCTACAACAATATCTTACAAAACAGGTTATAATATTATTTTACCATAGCCTCTAGATATACATTTAACTTTTAATTTGTAAAAAGTCATTGAAGTGAAAGAAAAGACATAAAACATTGATATAAAGCATAATATAATTTAAAGATGAAATTATAGAGATTCACTACATGTACCTACAGAATTTTCAAACCCGACTACAACCCACTCTACCTACCTTCCTATAAATACTGAGAGTTTGAGAATGCCATCATGTAAAGCTTTGATTAGTTCGGTTCTGCAATCTAAAAAAGAATTTTTAAACGGTTATTCACCATAGCAGAATAAAAGGTAGATTAACATATAATAATCTCTATTAACACAGGTAGACTTATGTATAATCATCTACCATAATCTGTATTCAAATGTATTAAGTTTGCGCTATAGCTCGATTAACTTTATATCGTCCCAGGGCCGACGAGCTTGGTAGCATTAACTTGTAAGGACATGGTCAAGGTCTTCTACAGCTCTAAGCCAAGTCTTCAATAAATCAATACTACCCAACGGTTTATTCAATGTATCTATCCATAATGAGAGAGATCTTTGTATGATAAAAGACTAAATTAAAGGTCTAGATTGATGGGTTTAAGATTAAGGCATCTTCTATTGTACAAAATGTTTATTAAAATTGCTGAAACATATTTAATAATTAATTGATTAAATAGTTTTGAACACATTTAGGCCCCATGAATAATGTTTCTTCCACCAAATTACTGATTTTTCTTTAAAAAAAATCAGATCAGTTCATAGGTCCTAAATTTCGGTTTAAATTTGTGTGTGCTTTAATACTGAGGATTCTACAAGGAACAAATTTTTACTCAAGTTTTTCTACCATATTTAGTAGCTACCTGCATCTAGAATGTTGGACATTTCTACACCTGACTTCAGAACTTCAAGATGTACAATAATAAACTAAGTGTATGGTCTCATATTTTTACAGCTATTGTATATTTATTTTTTAGATAACTTTTTATATACAATGTGTGTACTACATTTGTTTTTTATTGTACCCTTTGTACTGCATACTTCACATTGCCAAAGAGGTTTTATCAAGTGCATACATGTAGGGATTTTGTGTCGCGAATCAATAAACTAAATCCCTACTTTTCCTTGATGTAAATAATTTATCTCATTTTGCAGAGGAAATCATTAAAACTTCTATATAATCAATTTTTGAAATAACATCCTGTTCTTTTTTAAGGCATACATGTTGTAACATAGTAATTAAATTAGAAATTCCTTAATGGATGTTGAAAAACAAAATAATTCTAAAAATAAATTGGCTTACAAACAAAAGTTTCTGGTTAGTGAGGTTAAAAGAAACCAATGTATTGTCTTTAGGCTATTGTGATTTCAAAAACAGTTAAAGGAATCATTCCAAATAGAAATAGCAAAGTTAAAGTTGTCTAGAGTTTCATTTGCTAATTTTAATTTCTCTGTAATCAACAGCCTACATTTTGAATAGGACCTTCGTGGATCCTACATATCCTAATTGCTAACAATACATATCTTGAGCAAATCTGTCCACGTGTTCCTTTCTGAAGAGATCATTTTTGATACCCATAAGTTGTGGTTTTTAATATCTCAGAATAGACAAACTGTACAATGCTGTAGCTAAAAATTTTCAAGACAAGTTCCCCTCAAATTAATCTTATATCAATTGGACCTAAAAGCAGCATGTTCTACCTACTGACCCAAATGGTAACTAAAAGAAAACTTTTCCGACAACATTCAGTGGCCAAAGTCCATACAAAATTATGCAATTACATTCAGGTTGATAATCAGGTATGTCAATACATGTAGGTCAATGTACTCTGTCAATGTACTCCACACTCCAATGTGTTATCTTAAATTTTACCAGATATCAAAAGAAAAGATTCATGGAATCATTAAAAATAGGAGTCCAAGATTATAACCTCTTAAAAAAATTTTATTTACCCTATATCAACAGCTGCTACGGCTAGTTTCCAGTGGTCATGGTGGCAGATCCACGATTTTCAAAAAGAGTGACCCGGAGAGTGAAAAACAAACATCCTTTAGGATCAGCTTTTTCTTTCAGTAAGAAAAATCCATGCAAAATATATAGACCATGAAATGGAATCATGTTGGACAATAAAAACAGGCCAGGCTTAAATTGATGGCTTTTTAGTCCTAAATCTGGAACAGAACTGAGTACAAAAAGACTGAAAGTTTTATGAGGTCATTCAACATAGTGCATCCACCTGACAAATAAATGGTCTCCTGCAATTGGATATGGACTGATGTCATTCATGTCCAAAATCCAAAACAATTTTGTCAAAACAAGCATTATTGACCCTATAGCTATAAAATGTTATTCAGCTTGTGGTCAGTACTATGGCCACGTGATAACATTAATGTCCATCATACAAGCTCTTTTAAACTAGAGTAGATAACCGTTAACACACAAGTAATATTCAAAGTTGTTGCATACTTCTGTTTGTAAAATCAAATGTAGGCCAAAAAAGTGTGTGTAAGGGTTTTTGCTAAACAAAAAATCATAGTCAGTAGGGTTTATTTTTTTACGATAACAAATTGAAAGCAGAGTCTAGCTTGGTCTTTTTCTTTTTTAGCCATGACGTTGTCAGTTTGTTTTCTACTTATGAGTTTGGATGTCCCTTTTGAATTTGATGCGACTGTCAAACAAGTGAGAGGTTTAGCTAGCTATAAAACCAGGTTCAATCCACCATTTTCTACATGAGAAAATGCCTGTACCAAGTCAGGAATATGACAGTTGTTATCCATTCGTTTGATGTGTTTGAGCTTTTGATTTTGCCATTTGATTAGGGATTTTCCTTTTTGAATTTTACTCGGAGTTCAGTATTTTTGTGATTTTACTTCTTTTTTTTTTTGGTAACATTTGCAATCAGTCAATGCACAAAGACAATGAATAACATGATTGTGATCAATTCTGATGAATATTTAGCTACAGAAACTTATGTGTTGTTGAAAATTCAATGGTAAAAGAGTGGCGTAAGATACCAAAGGGACATCCTCATAAAAGCAACACGGTCAGGATCATAGTTCAAAATTAAGTAGGGTACATGAATACAGGAATTAAGATTAGCAGGGCCATGTAGCCCAGGATAATTAATTTCAGACTTTGCCCTTAAACTTTAGCTGAAAAAAATCAATAGTGCTTAGGTCAATCGTTAATGTTGTGGCAAATCGGCAATATTTTTCCCTGATATACACATGAAGCTGTGTTTCTTTGAATTTTAGACTAGTAAAGATTCAAAGCTTTTTTTAAAAAAAACTGGAGTGGAAAATTTCAGGGAAATCTATGTCTTACCCCTTATAACTAAATGGAATGTACATGTATGCAGCTGTGCCAGGTGTAGTGAATTTTGATAACGATTGAATTACATTTTGATAAAAAAAAAATAAAAAAATGGCATGGAAAATTTCAGGGAAACTATGCCTAATAACTATAAGCCTACTGTATTTCTTATTTGGCCTTATATGTACTACAACATATAAAATCACATGCCCAATTCATGTGTCTTTCTAACCACAATCATATTTCCCCATCTCTTCTGTGGTTGCTCATCCAACAAAAATCATCATATATTAAAATGAGAAGCTGTCATACAAACAGTCAACCTTTGTTTAAATACAAATTGTCTTAGTTAAAATCTGCTACAGGTCCATTTAAATACCCGAACAGTCATTATCATAGATACAATATGTCACAATACTAAATTAACTATAGGCTATAGTAGATTATATCATTGCACCGTTATTAATTGTCACTGGATATACCATTGAAATATATTTTGTACATGCTCACAATACTTTAACAAATTGGTAGTGATCATATAGAATAGGGTCACTATGACTTAATTAATTGCATTTCAGCATGTAAATGTAGGGTAGGCTAGCAACCCTTTAGGTGACGGAAGAAAGAAAAAGCGTTTTGGGTGACATCCTTCAGATCTGTTTAAATCATTTATCAAAATCCACTATTGATAACAATAATTTTTAATTATCATTCATTACATTCTGGTAATTGAAAATAAGAAATGTATAATTTTACATTTCACAAGATTCAATTTCAACAATTTATTAAGAACAAATATATTTGTTTTACAACCATCCTGGTGTGGAACTCAACATACAAATTCAGGTACCAACGTTTGACTGGGATTTGAAACCCCAACCTCCCCAAATTCATATATTGATTTATGTGAAAAATCACTACCCATTTAAAAGCATTCATATATTTTTCAATGGAAAATCACAAATCACAACCAAGTTAAATATATATATATATATATCCCACTTATCATGGCATCTTATTTGGACATTAACCACATGGTATCATTCATATTATTAGATAAATAGATCAGAACACAGTCTTAACAGAAGACCCGTCTACTCTACCCATTGGTATGTTACCCCTCCGTGAACTGGAACCCCATTGATATATTTGACATGCCAAAAAAGTTACCCATACCAGCAGCAGGTCTGTGTATACCTTTATACAGGAAGAGACCCCCCCCCCCCCCCCCCCTGAAATGTATGGCAACAGAAAAGTCCATGTCAGATTAATCATACTGATTCAGAAATGATGTCTTTAGATGATTTTGATTATTAAAGGTTGCTTTTCAGGATGATGACTTGTTAATGAACTGAGAAAACACCCTGTTTTGTACTAGAACAGCACACAATTTTTATCCTGAAAGCTCACACTTGCACATGTACTTCAAGTATTAAACAGTTCACAGAATAAAATTTCACCTTACAACTTACAAGTACAAGACACATTATTCGGACTCCAGCAAACCAGTTCAGACTCATGAATTGTGTTAGAATATTATTTCCTATCCTACATAAAACTTTAGCAAGAAAATGTAAACTTCAAGTCATAAAATGCAACCAACTTGAACTAATAAGAAAAATAAACTATTTCATCAGAAATTATATTTATATAAAAATACGGAGATGTGGTGTGATAACCTACATAAAAGATAAATTGTACTTATATACTTTATTTATGGTACAAGGTATTTCGAAATATCACTGCCTTCCAATATTCATTGGTCAAAGTGAAACACACCTCCAGTTATTAAATATATACGGCCTTGACACAACTGCGGAACTTACATGCTCCAAAGTGACGTATGAACCAGGTTAGCGCGACAAATAAAATACATTTATAGTGTATAAAACAATTCAAGGAATTGACAGAAATTGTTTAAATATTCAATAAGAATGTTTAATGTCTGATTTCTGACAACAATTTTCACTTACTTATGTGTGTTTCATATTTTTTCCATTGTTGACAGAAGTCACCGGCTTTTTTTAAATTCACTTGCTTTTCTTATGAATCTCATTCCGTACACCAGTGATATCAACAAAAAGTATAAATTCCTCTTAAAAGAACAATATAATACAAAAAGGAAATTAATTAGTATACCTTTTCATTCATAAATTTGCACAGTTATTCTCCCACTTGCAGCATGCGTTCAACTTCAGACGAACCACGTTGATTATTGACTTGATAGTTGAAAGGTATCCACGCATGCCTTAATTCACTTCCGGTTAGAACCGTGTTATGTGTTCTGCAAATTATTACGAAATTGTTATTGTACTTAATGTGAAAAGCGTTTCCATTTGAATCAAAATCCAAGGATATCTTAAAAATAGATTTGCCAAATATTTTTGTGTAACACGTGTTTAACACGCGCTGTGTTCGTGGCCTGCACTCTATCATTGCACGTGTGCTGTTCTGGACTAAAGAAAAGCGGGAAATACGTTTCGCTTTAAAAATTAAACAAAATATTTCCCTCGCAAATGGATTTTGTTTGTTAGTCTCAGAGGAACTGCTGTCAAAGTTACAGGAGCCTGTTTCTTCCGGTGCTTAAAGGTCCGCCACATCGCTGCAAAGATCTGCAAAGTGCGGAAAAACTGTCATGTCACAAAACTTCAATTTAAGCCCCATTCAGCTTTCCAACAAAACTTATGGTTATCTCGGACCAACATGTTGGACCCAGATGCTATTGATTGAAATACTTACTTTTTATAAAAGTGGGAAAATCTTTGTCACGAGGGAAAACACTGCTCCCACTTCCACTCCCACAAATAAAGATGAAGTATGGTCGGTGCTAGTCCAGATAATATTAAGACGTGTTACTGAATAGCCTTTCAACACGTCATAACAATTTGGACTAGGTCGGTGCCTAATCTGCCGACCCGTTGATCGTTTATAGCTTGGACTTATGGAGTGAGAGACCCATATTCGCCGCATAATTTGTTCATTTCCACTTACATCCGATCTACATTCGAATATTTGGAACTTTTTATGACGGAACTGGAAGGGTTCAGAAATTTAACTATATGAAAAAAATGTTTGATAAAGAAATTATCTTCAAAGTTAAACATTGGTTAATTGTTCTAAAAACGAACGCAAACTCAAGAGGAAATCAAGTTGTTCGTGTACCATGAGGGACACATTTTCGCCGCAATGTATGATATGACAATCCTCATTATCCTGACCAGTATATTGTAAAAACGAATGTTTGAATTAGCTCGAGAGATCATTCCTATACGATTTTTCTCACAAATATTTACTTTAAGACTGCGCATGATTGCCATATAAATCTTACATAATTGTCAAAATCATTTAAAAACACCTGCGTATTTCTCAATATGTGCGAATAACCTTGGAAATGGGGTAAAGAGGAATATCAACAGTTGTAACATTACAAACAGCCTTTACCATCTATTTAGGCAAGTATTGGGTAAAGGCACACACATTTTACAGAAGAAATAGCAAAACGGCGAAAATGTGTCCAAGGCGAATATGCGCCACCCACTCTACATATAACCTGTTATATGTTATATGTGATACCCCTAAATCCGCCTCTGCCGATTATCGTCTTAAATGTTAATCAACACAGTGCAGTTACTTTTTTTTCAATCTGCATCCGATATAACTATTCGTGAGGTAAAATTCGGCAAATCACAACTTGATTACTACAAAAACAATTGGATCTATGATTTTCAAAATGTGAGAGACAGAATTGAATACAGTATACATAGGTAAAAATCAGAAAAGACTTTACCCAGGAACATATATATTGTTAAATATACTGTTCCCAGCTGTACCTGAAACTAAGTTTGATCATAACTTGAAAGAACGAAGTCCTTGGGTCCCTGCGATGACTACTCAATCTGTTTCGATATTTTGTTAAGCTATGACTTGAGATTTCACAACCGAAAGTCACTTTAAAAGAAACCGAAAAATCGGTTTCATTCCCGGCTTTTTGCACCGGCTATATGTATACACTGGGACCATTCAATTGTTATACTTATAGTATAATAGTCCCAGGCCTGTTTCCATTTATATAATTATGAAAGACGCATACGTTTTGTGCAATGCTTTATGTTGTGGATCAGCTTAAATGTAAGAATGTAAGGCACTATAGTAGTTTAACGATGTTCAGACCTCATAAATCCCTTCAGAACATGCAAATCGAGGTTAAAAGCACTGGCACTTGGTGAATGCCCCCCCCCCCTTTTTTTTTTGCTATGTATGCATAGTTTTGTGTTTTAATCAGCTTTTTTAATAAAAATTCCTGAATATTATAGGGTCTTATCCATACAACATTTTACAATAACAGTAGTTTATATATGAAGCCCCTCTATATTCTTATCATTTTCTACAAGCGCAGTTAAAATATCGTAATCTGCACGCCTCCGCACATTTTATACACCATGCATATTTCTTTTAAATCATACAAATTTGGACATGCATCGACTAATCAATGTGGAAATGTTACATATATAATGTTTAAAATGTTTACCCTAATGTGAAATTGCTCAGAGTGGAACGTGCAAAAGTTCGGTGTTGTCATATTCGAGGAAAAGAGGACGGGATTGTGGTGACGACAATCATCCAGTGAAACATATCCGTGGTCGTCTGCGACACAAACATTTCATAACGGTCAACCAATTCGTGATGGCGTCTATAAAACCTTCGAAGGGATAACTTCAACATTACCTCTCAGTGGAATTCTTCTTGATTCAAAAACTTCCTTGTAAGCAGCAACCCTTTATCAAAGAAATCATGAAAGTAAGCACAAGCTCTGGGTTATTGTATCAACTAGGAGCTATATACTCTATGTGCTGGTGCTGCTGGAATGTTGCTACTTAGAAATGGAAAGTTAAAAATTGTGAGGCTTAGATCTAAATCTTCCTTTTGTCCGTAAAATTTTTCTCACCGACACCATTGTCTATTTATAGATATGTCAAGATATTTATAAGGCAAACTTGGCTGTTAGATAATGTGAACATAAAATCTTATGATTTTCAATTTAGTGCGCACGAAACGTGTTTTTGATATTCTGGATATACGCATGCACTGAACGTTCTCCGGATTTTTCTTCTATATTTTACAACAGGGCATATCACCATTCTTTTTTAAAACCATAAAGGAATAGTGGGGGGGGGGGGGGGGGGGGGGGTTATCCCATCCATGCAGACGCAAAATATATCTGTTATGCTTTTACCCATTTGTTAGATTTCCAGTTCATAAACTATGTGATTGAATACTATAATAAGGTTGCAACTCCTTAGGGCAATTCGGTTGGCGTAAGAAGGTTTGGTTTGATTGGCTTTTTATCACGGCTTTCCAGACATTTTATATTTTGGATTTTCAAATATGATGAAGGGCAATTCGTTTGGCATAAGAAGGTTTTGTTTGATTGGCTTTTTATCGCGGCTTTCCAGACAGTTTATATTTTGGGTTTTCAAATATGATGAAGGAAGAGTTAGCGCATGCAGTGGGTTTTTATTCATCCAATCATACTTATGAATTTTAGTGATACTTAACTCTTCGGGGATTCTGTGCACGGACACATAATCCCAAAAAGGGATTGGTAATCACAATAAATAACTAATTTATACATTCTATCTTTAATTTTAAGCAAGGTATCACTCATTTATATTCTGAGATCGCATGTAATTGTAGATTGTATTACCCCCATCTTAGCCTAATTCGGTATATATATATATTGTTTCCGTCATTTTAATTAATTTCTTGTTATAATAATGCACGTTATTTTAGTAACATTTCTGAAGGTAAATATACATGCTCCTCGTTAGGAGAGTTCATCGTAAGAACTATCGTAGGTCTTTTTATCAGGTTCGGTATTAGTAACCGTGTAAGGGGCATAACGATAGAGATCTAGTAGAATTTGCTTTTACCTTTTATTTCTGTTAAATCAGAAATCAGTATAAACCCGTGCTCCTTACAATCACTTCTGCTCAATCAGTTATTCTACGTGAGCGTCTGGAAGGGGGGGGGGGTCCTTTATTTCTGTATTCTTTAAATTTTAAGGCCATGTTTCTTTATTCTTTATACTTTTTGGTCCATTCTTCTCTATTCCTATATTTTATGCCCATTATTCTCTGTTTTGTAAACCCCCATCCACACCCTCCTTCGTGTATCAATGTCCATTCTATTCTTATATACCCTAGTATGGGACCGATCTAGCAACCCAGGAGGACTTGAGAAGAAAGTTCAGGAACTATTCCTCGGACGTAATTTTCTAAAAGACACCTTTCTACCCTCATCTGTATTTTCACAATACGATCAATGCCTACACACCTGTTCAATTTCCCTGTCCAAGCAAGTAGAAAACAAAACTGTTTTCGCTATACAAACTGTACAATAGACATCCCGTTTTTTGGGGTTTTTTTTTTGTTTTTTTTACGAAAGTAAAATTCATTTTGAAATACCATGTGCAGTCACGTAATGAAAGCGTGCATCCTTTATTCTCTTAAAGTTTCTCACGGCTATGGTAATTTTAAGCGAAAACCCCCTGCAGTTGTCAAAATTTTAACAGTTTTATGCTTTGGACAAAGATGATATCAATAACAGAAAAACGATAAAAAA